AAACCAGAGAATATGCTATAAATAGGGTTCGCTATTATTTGTGGTTTCTGGCATCTGCAGTCGGTCTTGGAATGTATCCCCTGTGGATATGGAGGTCCTCCTGTATTATTGTTATTAGTAGTAGTAGCAGCAGCAGCAGGAGAGGTTATCTTTATATATTCTTCGAAAGACCTTTGTGGCTTTTCTCTGTAACCTCTCACAACCCTAAATTCTGTGGCTTAATAGATACATGAACATGGCTGTCCCAAGTCCCAGCTGAACACTTTAACCGCTATACCACATTGCACTTCTGATGCAGAAGTGATGCAGTACTAAGGTAGCTTGTACGTTGTTGGCATGCTGTGGGTGCTGCTGTCTTTTGACCTGTTTGTTTGATCTCCCTGGCAGAAAGTGGACAAATTCAGCAACTATCCTGTTTACCACACCATATATGAGACCTTTGAGCTGGTCGAGCGCTTTTACGACCCCACCTTCAAGAAGCAGCTTGCGGTGGCTCAGCTACGGGCAGGGTTGGTCTATGAACTTGCCAGTTCCCTCGTCCTTCCTCTTCATTGCCAGGATTATGCGGAAGCGCTAAGAATTTATGCAAATGGAATCTATGATTTGGCCCAAAAACACAAAACACAACTTGAGATGTACGGAGTCTCATTTGGTGAGCATGACTTTAGTGCCATTCTGGATCCATACAGCGGTGCTTTCATACAGCTGTGCAATAGACTCATAGGATAATTGTATTGGAAGGCGCCTATAAGGCCATTGAGTCCAACCTCCTACTCAATGCAGGAATCCAAATCAAAGCAGATCTGACAGATGTCCAGTTTTCTCTCGAAGGCCTCCAGCGTTGGAGTGCTAAGTAATTGGTTCCATTGTCTTACTACTCTTAACACTTCTGCCACCCCTCTGTTTAGGACTGCTAAATCCCCAGCTTCCCATATCCTGAAACCTTCCTGTCAAAACAGTGAACAGGGATGAGTCTTTATTTAACAGTCCAAAATACCCACAGTGTGCAAGAAAGAAGCTTATGAGTCTCAGTGACAGTGCTCCATTCCTTCCCTTTCCCTGACTGATATGAATGGCTCAAGTTCATGCATCCTTCGGCTCTCTCTTCAATTTTGCTTCCACTCACACCAGCCCTTTAAGGGTCCCGACACTGCACAAGTGCAACACACATGCAGATACCATATTTTTCTGTGTATAAGACTATACTTTTGTCTAAAATCTTTAGACAAAAAATTGAGGGTTGTCTTATACATGGAAGTAAGCTGAGGAGAGAACAAAAACAAGTGGAGGGGAAAGCAGGGATCAAAGTGATCCTGCAGCGCTTTGATCTCTTTCCCCCCACCCTTGCTAAGTCCCACTTAGATTTCTTAGTTTTGGATTAAAAATGTGAGGGGGGTGTCTTATATACGGAAAAATATGGTGGGCGTCTTATATACGAAAAATACAGTATTTTCATGTGGTGTCTAAAGCCCTATGTAAGAATCTGAAGCTCTTTCTGAGGCATTGTGCTAGAGCAGTGGTTCTTAACCTTTGTTACTCAGATGTTTTTGAACTGCAACTCCCAGAAACCCCAGCCAGCACAGTTGGTGGTGAAGGCTTCTGGGAGTTGCAGTCCAAAACTCCTGAGTAACCCAAGGTTAAGAACCAGTGTGCTAGAGTGTTAGCTGTATATATTGTTGCCAAGAATGTATAGAAAACCAATAACGTGGCACTAGTCTGCATCGAGAAAATATACTGTCCAGATCAATAGTCAGGTGGTCTAATCTGTGTTGGTCAGGTACCATCTAGAATCCTGTGTCCAGTTCGGAGCACAATGGTTTAAGAAAGATATTGACAATCTGGGTAGCATCCAGAGGAGGGTCATCAAGATGCAAAAAGGTCTGGAAACTAAGCTCTATGAGGAACAGACGAGGGAACTGGGTATGTTTAGCCTGGAGAACAGAAAACTGAGAGGTGATAGGATACCTGGCTTCAGATATTTTAAGGGTTGTCACACACAAAAATGGAGCAATCTTGTTTTTTTGCAGTTCAGGAGTGTACGTAGGATCTATGCTCATGGGTTCAAATGACAAGAAAGGAGATTCTGATTGAACTTCCTGGCTGTAAGACAGTGGTCCTCAATCTTGGGCCTCCAGATGTTCTTGGACTTCAACTCCCAGAAATCCTGGCCAGAAGAGGTGGTGGTGTAGGCTTCTGGGAGTTGTAGTCCAAGAACATCTAGAGGCCCAAGGTTGGTGACCATTGCTGTAAGAGATACTTGACAGTGGTGTGGTCTGCCTCAGGTGGTGGATAGAAATGGGGGGGATATTCGTATTCGTATACAAATACCTCCATCTCTAGTGGTGGATCCTCTTTCACTGGAGATTCTTTAATGAGAATGTGGATGGCCGTCTGTCAGGGGTGCTTTGGGTGTAGATTTCCCATTATTGGACTCAATAAATCTAGAGGGGCCTTCCAGTTCTACAGTTCTATGTTTCTATGAAACGGGAACCTAGGCTTTCAAACAATCTTGTGTTCCAAACTCAGACTTTGGTTCCTCCCATGCCACTTGCATAGACATTTGTGGAAGTGTAGCAACGCCGTATTACTTCATGTGGGGCCCTCAGAGCTGGCAGCCCTAACTACCAAGGGCTTCTCTCTGTAACCAATAGGTAAGGGAACATATCATTGGAGGAGATCATCCTGTCTAACCTCCTGCTTAGATCAAGAGATCAGCCCTGACCTCTGTCAAGTGACAGTGTGCCACCATATCTCCAAGGGTTCTTAAATTTTGGTCTTCTAAATATCTTGGAATTCAGCTCCCGAAAGTCTAGCCAGCATGGCCAATGGTTAAGAATTCTGGGATTTGAAGTCCAAAACGTCTAGATGCCCAGTGTTTTGATTTGACTCCTCTATCAAACTCTTCATGTCCTCAAGCATTTCCCCTTAATAATCAACCAACATAGCCTCTTGTAACTCTTAGATTGATCACTGTCCTACAGAGCATCTATTTTGCCATCTTTACGGAAGAACGTCAAGTGTTTGTAACCTATCACCTCTTTTCCCTTCTCTTCTTCACTCTAAATAGTTTCTTCATCTTATTGTAATGTTTTCCATACATTAACATCATCTAATTTTGTTCCAGTTGTTCTACAGCAGATGTTCTTGGACTAAAACTCTCAGAAACCTTCACCACTAGGTGTGCTGCCTAGGATTTCTGGGAGTTGTAGTCCAAGAACATCTGGGGACCCAAGGTTGGAAACCACTGGTCTACAGTATGGAGGAGGCCACACGAGCCCCCATCTTATCGTAATGTTTTCCATACATTAACATCATCTAATTTTGTTCCAGATGTTCTACAGCGGATGTTCTTCGACTAAAACTCTCAGAAGCCTTCACCACTAGGTGTGCTGCCTAGGATTTCTGGGAGTTGTAGTCCAAGAACATCTGGGGACCCAAGGTTGGAAACCACTGGTCTGCAGTATGGAGGAGGCCACATGAGCCCCTCCAGATGTTTTACATCAGAAGTTATTCACTAGCCTAGGGCTAGTGAAAATGAAACTTTCTACATGCACCCTGCATGTCCGCTCTGGACTGGGACTACTACCGTCTGCTCTCAGTAACAGGGGCCCTGTGTGTCTCAGGTAGATAAGGTACTTCCATTTCTTGCCTCTTTAAAAAAAATGGAGGGACACAGGCTTCGTCATGACACCACCTGTATGCTAATCATAGTCCTGCCACCTCCAACCATACTTTCCGTTCTCTTGTCGCTGAGTTTGTAACTCCTCATTTGCAGATTCCCTCTTTTCTGCGGTGACGAATTTCACAAAAGAAGCAGCAGACTTTCACCACAGACTGGCACAGCTTGATCCGAATGAGTAAGCATCATATTTGCCGGGATCAGGACCAAATATTTTCAGATATTAAAGGATTCCCCTGCCTCTCCATGCTGAGGCTCTCAAAGGTTGAAGGGGATTCCTAGGGAACCTTAGAACTTGGTGGTAGTTTAGGAAACTTTAATTTAAATGTTAAAATTCACAGCGGATGATGTCATCAGCCTTTGCGCATGCACAGTTGAGCGACAGGATTCTAGCCAGAGTGCTTTCATATAATTCAGGGCTGTCCAGCTGGCTTCACTGCACATTGAAACGGAAACCACAGAATGGTACTGTCTGTTCAAGTCCATTTATAGTAGAGGGATGATGAAGGGGACCAGGCTGTTGAGATGGCCCAAAAAATAGGAAGTGAAACATTCCTTCAATCTCCCACGGAGCATGGATACTAAATATATAGGAACAGCAGGCAGGTTGGAACATATCATCCCTTAGTTTAAGAGAGTCTATGGAAAACAGAACAGAAAGTTGAATGTGTCCGCCCTATGACCTTTCTGACATCTTCATGTTGTCTTCGTCTTGCACAGTTCCATGGCCCTGCGGCGCACGAATGATCAGCTGATGCTTCTAGAGAGAGCCTTTATTGATCCTCTTGGTCTACCAGGCAGGCCCTTTTACAGGTAAACTGTCCTAATATAACAGGTGTGGGTAATATTGACCCATAGGCTGCATGCAACCCCACTGGCTCATTTCTGCACTCCCCAGCATCTCTGTTCCAAAAACACCCCCTATTATTTTTTAGGAGGGGAGGTGTTTAGAAGAATCCCGTAGGAGGTATAGGAGATTTTTTTTACCCCGTTTTGAGGGGCTCTGGGCACCCCTGAGGCCCTCATACCTTTTCCTACTCTTTGTTTTAAATGTGTTTTTGGTCACTGCAGGGTGCAAAGCAATTAAATAAAAACATGTCATGGAAATCTTTACTAACTACAGTATATTTACTTTACATAACTACTGCATTCTGAAAAACGTGCAAATTCAGCTCTACCCCCTTAGAAGCACAACTTTTGCATGGGCAACCAATCTGAAAAAAATGCCCTCAGCTTTCCCCAAATCACCCATCCTTGCGGTACTGAGAGGCTTATTTTTCAAAGCCATTAAATATACCTCATTCGAGGTTGCACTAGTATCCTTCAAAAAGAGCCGCCTCATGATTATTTCTCTTTCCCACTTCCTGTAATCTCCATAAGAAATGCTTCCTCTTTTCCTTTCTGGTCCTTAGTCAAGCAGAAGAAGGACAAAGCATATTTTTCCATTTATAAGACTCCCCCATTTATAAGACCCCCCCCCACGCTTTTCTAACCCCCAAATTAAGAAAACATAGCTTTGAGCATTCAGTCTTTGGGGTCAGAGCGCTCAGACATTACAAGTCCCTGTTGAATCTGAGCACTGCCTATAGGCTCATGATTGGAGGAAGCTAAGTCTCTAGCACCCAAATAGTGTAAGCCCCTCAATTTTTAGACTAATAATTTTAGGAAAAAATAGCATCTCATACATGGAAAAATACGGTATATTCTTTGTTTTGATTCCCACACATGTGGTATCTTCTTTCTCCTATTGATTGATTGATTGATTGATTGATTGATTGATTGATTTGATTGATTGATTTGATTTGATTTGATTTGTATCCCGCCCATCTGGTCTATACGACCACTCCTACCACGCAAATACATTTTTATTCATATTGGCATGATGCACACTTAACACTACTCGGATGCTGGAGGTTCTCCTTTATTGAGCCTTTTGAAAGTTTTACAGTGGGGTCTTGACCTACGGAATTAATTCGTATTTGAATGGGGTCCATAGGTTGAAAAGTCCTCAGGTCGAAAATGCATTCCCCATAGAAATGCATTGAAAACCACTTAATCTGTACCCGGCCCAAGAACCCCCTCCCCCCAATTTTTTTTTAATAAAAATTAAAC